AAGACCAGACACAAAGAGAGAATGTAGGATAGAGAATGAGAACAAGAGAGAAAGAATGAAAGGAAATAATGAGAAATAAGGAATGAAGGTAAGGAAGAAAGGTACAATAATGAGATAAAAAATGAAGGGGTTTGGAAGAGAGAGGGAGAGAGAGAGAGAGAGAGAGAGAGAGAGAGAGAGAGAGAGGCCCCTCCATAGCATCATGTTAGTTCCTCACAATGGCAAGTCACTCAGCCTGGGTGTCTACTGCATAAACTTACAGACAGTCTTAACCAGCCAACAACTAGGTACACACACACACACACACACACACACGCACACTTACACACACACACACACACACACACATACACACACATACACGCACACACATACACACACACACACACACACATACACACACTCACACACACACACACACACACACACACATACCTATTAGTGCAACTATGGCAAAACTACCTCAGTGAATCTCTCTCTCTCTCTCTCTCTCTCTCTCTCTCTCTCTTTCTCTCTCTCTCTCTCTCTCTCTTTATTCACTATTATTTATCATTATTGTTATTTTGGAACCATGATTTGTGTTTTTAGTTTTGTTTTTCAGACCTATTGTTAATCGTGGCTGACTGACTAACTGACTAACTGGCTGATTGACTGACTGGCTGATTATTTGGCTGGCTGATTGACTTATTTAGCTGGTTGACCTGACTGGCTGGTTGACTGGCCCAGCTGGTTGACTGACTTACTGACTAATTGGACTGATTGACTACTGGGTTGATTGACTGACTGCTGGTTGACTGACTGGCTGGTGACCGACTTGGCTGATTGACTGACTGACTGGATTGACTGACTGACTGGCTGGTTGATTGACTGACTGGCTGACTGTGATTGACTGACTGACTGACTGACTGACCGGCTGATTGACTGACTGGCTGATTGAAGAAATATTATAAGATGACGTTGCTTTGTAATTAACTTTTTTTGTCCTTTTCCATTTTAATTATCATGATAAGTCGGGTTTTTACTTATGCACGCCTAGGATTTATGTGTGTGTGTGTGTGTATGTGTGTGTGTGTGAGACAGGGTTGAGTGATGATGCTGGTGGTGGTCGCAGCTATACGGGTTGGTCACTGGGTCATGTACACATAGCCACCGTGACTGTCACTTTAGCTGTCTGGTCTACCTGTCTGTGTCCTAACCTGTCTTCCTGTCTGTCTGTGTACACCTCCCTTCTCTGTGTCATTCCGTCTCTCTGTCTGTCTATCTGTATGTCTTTCCACCCTGTCTTCCTGTCTTTAACTGTCTATATCCTCCTCCCCAACTGTCTATATCCTCCTCCCTGTCTCCCTGTCTTCTCATAATTGCCTATTACCTTCTCCTTGTCTTCCAGTCTTCTCTGTCTATATCTTCTTCCCTGTTTTCCTGTATATCTCTCTGTCTTCCTCCCTGTCTATGTCTGTCTCCCTCCCTCCCTCCCTCCCTGTCTATCTGTCTGTATTCCTCCCTGTGTGTGTGTGTGTACCTTCCTCTGTCTCTCCCTTTTCTCCCTTCTTCTCTCAGTATTCCTCCCATTTTATCTCCCTTTTTCTCTCTCTCTCTCTCTCGTTTACTTTCTCCCTCTCCCATTCCTTCCTTCCCTCTTATCTTAACCTCCTCACCCCTTCCTCCTTCTTTCTCTCACTTCACCTTTGCTTCCTGCCCCTTTCCCTCACCTTCCTCCCTCCCTCCGTCCTTACCTCCTGCCTCCCTCCGTCCTTACCTCCTGCCTCCCTCCGTCCTTACCTCCTGCCTCCCTCCGTCCTTACCTCCTGCCTCCCTCCGTCCTTACCTCCTGCCTCCCTCCGTCCTTACCTCCTGCCTCCCTCCGTCCTTACCTCCTGCCTCCCTCCGTCCTTACCTCCTGCCTCCCTCCGTCCTTACCTCCTGCCTCCCTCCGTCCTTACCTCCTGCCTCCCTCCGTCCTTAGATCCAACATAGAAATAACATAGCTCGGAATCCTCAATCAATCATCCGTTATCAAGACGGATGAACGGATGAATGGATGGATGGTACTAACTGGGTCTATTCTCCCGCGTGATGGATTGTATTCCATTATGTTAAACGCTTGGATTGTTTTAAGAGATAGGAAGGGGAACAGATTGTATTACATGTGGTCAAATGAAGTAAACAAAGACGGGTTATTACTTTGAAGGATATTTTATTTTTCTTTATGATAGAATTACATGAACAAAATTCCAGTTAGTCGACAGTATTGAATCTTTTTTTTTAAATATAAACTTTGATGTTGGTTGAAACTTTCTTTATATATTGTAACTGAGGCGAGTAAACACGACAGACAAGAGACAACATGCGTATAAAGTGAAATCTGAAGAAAAAATGGAATAGATGATTTTTTTATTAACTTTTAATGAAATAATATAAATTTTAATATTTTTTCAGCTATTTTAATATTACATTATTCGTTATAATTTGTTTTCGTTGATAAATAAATCAACAAATATGTTACCTGAGAGATAGAATTATTTGTCAAGTAGTTATCATCTGACGTGCAATAGATGAAGTTATATTTACTCGGGGAGGGACTACGTGTATGCTGACACTTGCTTGACTACAGGAATTAGAAACAGATCACACACACACACACACACACACACACACACACACACACACACACACACACACACACCTGATTTCTACACTAAAGCCTCTAGACCTATGGAGGCTTAGTGAGATCTCTCCATCGTAGCCATGTAGGAGAGAGAGAGAGAGAGACTGGTCTGTATCTCAACCTTTTACAGTATTAATCTCTCTATCTCTAGCTCCCTCACCTGGTTCCCAATTAAATCAGCCGGTGAGCTCCTGTACAGGTAAACACTAACACCTGGGCCCTCCTTATGGTGGCTCTCACGAGTGGCGTAGACAACACCTTTAACTCTCTCTCTCTCTCTCTCTCTCTCTCTGTTAATTTGCTGTGTTAGATGACATCATTAACACTGATAAAATTAATTGTTTCCTGGATTGATAGATTGTTACCTGGGTTGATAGATTGTTCCCTAGGTTAATAGATTGTTTCCTATGATGATAGATTGTTACCTAGGTTGATATATTGTTACCTAGGTTGATAGATTGTTCCCAAGGTTGATAGATTGTTACCTTGGTTGATATGTTAAATATTCACTTAAACGTGTGTATTTGCATCAGGAGGTAAAGAATGGGGTGTAAACATGGCCGGGTTCAGGAGTGGGCAGAGTGGGCAGCTGCCCAGGGGCCTCCACATATTACAACATTTTATTTATTTGTTTATTCATTTGGATTATTTTTATTTTCATTGTTTAAAATTCATGTTTATCTATTCCATCACGTTAAACTATGTTCAGCAAGAAGCGTGATAGAAATTAGGCTAGCTACTCCTTGAAATTCGTGAATACCTGGTTTTCCTATGAACCGTATATTTTTAATGAATGCTATTGTTTGTGTTGCTAATAATATATTTAGAATTCCACAAACATATATTGATTAAAAATGAACTACATGGAATAACGAAATTGAGATTAAAAAAACAAGTAAAATATTTTTTTCATTATCACTTCCATTACGAATGCCATCAGGGCGCTGTGTTTGTTGACAGTCGGTTGGAAGGGGTTGGGTCGTGTAGTATCTGCACATCGGTTGTCATGTGTCTGTCGATTAAAGAGGAGACTTGCGTCGCCCATGATTCGTGAACTTCCCACGAGTAGACATAAACATGTCTTGCAGATGTAAAATAAGAGAGAGAATTGTCATGTGTGCTTGTTGAGTGAAGTCGTCGCCGCTCAGTGATGAATGATCTTGTCAGTTGTCATTTCCTAGAACATGTCTTGCAAATGTACAGTGAGAGAGAGTCGATTGATGCTTGAGTGTGGGTGGGTGTGCTCTTAGAATATACGTTCACATATATGATTGTGCTTTATGATACTACAGGACGATTGGCTGCAAAGGGGTTGGGTCCAACATGTTCATACTTTTGTTATAAATTTATCAAATTCATTAAATTGTTTATTTGTTTTACTATTGGATGCAAAACTTCAATTTTTTTTATAGTCGAGTTAATACTTATTCTGAATCTTTCTGACCTTGGACTTAAAGAAGCCTATACATGCATTCTTGGACAGAACCATTAATTGAGTAGAGGTTTATCTGATTAATAATGCAAAGAATCATCTCTCTGTAATAACTAATAATATGTTCTTTTCTGTGAAGTCTCTTGAAAATTTTTGACATGTGCGGTAGTAGCTATATCAGGGCTGGTCGACTTGAAACCACATGAATGACTCCAGTCATGTCTCACTTTTGTGTGTGTGTGTGTTGGGAATTTGTACACTATCAGTAAATATACAGTTAATTAAAAATTTCTCAATGTTCTAATTTCAAAATTCTCCAAAGAAGTGTTCAAATTTCAAAATTTTCCCGGGGGGCTTACAGCGCCCCCCGGAACTCCCAGATGTTTAGGCTCGCTTCACTCGCCACCCCACCCTCTTGGGTAGTTATAATGAGGGGGGCCTCCACAAAGAGGCTGCCCATGGGCCTCCACAGGTCTAAATCCGGCACTGGGTGTAAACATGTGTAAACAGAATGAGGTGTAAACAGAACGAGATGTAAACATGTGTAAACAGAATGAGGTGTAAACATGTGTAAACTCTTGTACAAATATTATAAAAATATTCAACTTGTACTGAAACAATTTTTTTATTTTTTGTCCACATTTTTCAACCTTTCTAAGAAGATAACTTTAGTGGCACACACGAATGATTTACATGAAGCTCTTGACTGTTTAAGACCATAAGAACACAAACATTTCGTACAGCAGATAACATTGAGAGGATTTCATGTTTGATGGCTTGAGTTACGATACTCTAGTCTCCAGTTAAAAGATTATCAGAATATTGAGTTTCGTAATAAACTTCCATTGTCACCCAAAAAAGATATATTATTTATAAAAACAAACACGAGAGGTTTCAACAAACCTTTAGGAAGTGATCTTCAAGCTTGGTTCTTGGAGGAGGGAATGGGGATATATTTTTTTTTCGTTTCTTTAACCGATTATGTTCACTCACTACTGTACACTGTAAGGGTACCACTCACTGAGGGGCCACCTTCTTCAGCACGAGTATAACACAACTAAACGTGGAAATATCTCTCTCGTCGGGCTTTATAACCGCGCAAGACCTGAGCTGAGTTATCAAGTGTAAATATTCCGTGATGCCGCACTGTGAGCTGAGTAACGAATGGAAAACAAATTATACCATAAATACATTTCCTTTACAAAACAAAATCTTATATCATTAACGCGAAAATCTGTGTATTTGAAGACAAAAGAAATCAAATATATATTTAGTTTAAAAATAATCAAAAGGAAAATCGTCTGAAATAACATAGGATAACAGCACTCGGCAACTCCACCATTCAGCTGGGAGTAAGCACTTTCTACCTACCTTCAGCGGCGTCCCATAAACGTATATACCCTTAGCCCCTGTATATACCCTGTAGCCCCCCCTCATTACACAAGAATGTCATCGCGAAACGTGTAATAATACCCCCCTAAAATGTCAATAGGAAATGCACCTTACGACCAATTAGAGAGTTAAAGGAAGAAGGGGAGGGTAAAGCCAAGTAAAGGGGGAATAGTCTCAAATCGTAGGCGATGAAGGACTCGTATGGGCTGCTACCATATTCTGTAATTATATTGTGGTAGTCATATGGTTGATGGTGATTCTCTCTCTCTCTCTCTCTCTCTCTCTCTCTCTCTCTACATATACTGCTTATACAAAAGAGTGTAAACAGATAAACGAGAGAGGGCTTGCGAAAGTAAGAGAGAGAGAGAGAGAGAGAGAGAGCCCAATGGGACACACACACACACACACACACACTACATATCCCTAACAACAGACACGCTACAACACTTATATAAGCCACTTTAATCACGAACATAATAACAAAGGACGTAAATATGAGTAAAAAAAATGATAAAGAGGAAATAAGGAGGAAGTACATTACCTGTGAGCACCTGTGTAAAATAACTTCCTTTCATGAACACACAGTGAGATTTATGTTCGTGTGGGTGTGGAACGAGGTCCTGTATTCGGTCTCGTTGTGTAGAATGATGTGAATTATTTATTAATGTTTACTAAAATTATTCATTCGGTTACTCATCTGTCTCTCTATCTCTCTATCTTTCCTTTCAATTCTTATGCTATTTTTTCCTTTTGTCTCTCCATCCATTTATTTATTAATTTACCATTTTTCTTTATTTGTTTAGGCATTATCTATATATTTTCTCTCTCAAATTCCTTTCACCCAGGACATTTCTCTCCTAACTAACGCAGCGAGGCTCTCTCTCTCTCTCTCTCTCTCTCTCTCTCTCTCTCTCTCTCTCTCTCCAGAATCATGTTATGAATGAGTGTATGATATATGTTCACTGTGTCAAGTACATAACGTTATGCACTGTTTATTCCTTATCATCCAGACTACTGGTGCTGTTATGAGACGTGTCCCCAGCAGACCTTCGATACGTGCTGTTACTGTTGTGATTTGAGTCAACGTCGCTTATTTGAGAGAGCTTAACAGTCCAGTTTGTGTGTTGTATAATTGCTGTTAAAATGAGATCCCAAACCACCAAGTGTATGCTGTGATTACTGCTGTTATTTGGAAGTTATTAAGTTAAACCGCTAAATATTTAATTGCCCTTGACTATACTAAGGTAGTTATTAGGTTCAGTAGCTCACCACCACCACCAACTGTATAATTTAGGTGTTACATTGGAAACTGGTAGAGGTATTTTATTTATTTATTTTATTTTTTAGATGGATTGGTAAATTTCCTAATATACAGTATATTATTTGTAAGTTTTTCTCAAATTATCTTCAAAACTAAGGCAGATAGATTGATATTTCATCCTTATTATGGTACTTTACATAACAACCAGCACACACACACACACACACACACACACATCTACACACACACACACACACATCTACAGTACACACACACAACCTCTCTTGGCCTACATGGATAAAAATCTTGTGAGAATTTATCGTGGAAAACAGATAACACACTTCCCACGTCCACCGCCTGGTCAGAGAACACCCAACAAACCTAACACAGACGTGGAGAAACTTTTAACATAGAGTACAGAATGAGTCTAGACGACGGTATAGTGAACACGCACCTACCTGGGGAGACCTGAGAGATGAGACAACTTACCATCCAATTATCTCTCTGCTTGATCGAACTGTTGAAATTAGCGCGAAACTTACAGTAATAATATGTGTTTATGGGACCAACCACGAGTTTTAAAGAAAGTCAAATGAGGGTTGTGTGACGTCAGTTTAGACCAGTATCTAGCAGGGACGGGTGTTAGTTTCTCTGCAATTTCGTTCGTCCAGTAAAATGATCTCCAGAACGCGGATGTGATTTGATAGTGCCGCGAGAGTTAGGTAGGTAAGTGGGAGGCAGGCAGGAGTTGTCATCTTGATCCTGTATAAAAAAATAAATTTAGAACTTTTAAAATTATTGCTCATATCCTTATACATATGATATGTTTTCACGTGTAAGGATAACATTTAAGGAAGTATGAGAGAGAGAGAGAGAGAACTACAACTATTGTAAAAGTCATCAGTAACAGCATCTATCAAGGTCTGTCAACATTCAATGACTCTTATTATTGACATAAATCATAATGAACAGTGATCCATCGCCACACATCACGGTACATACACTCTCTCTCTCTCTCTCTCTCTCTCTCTCTCTCTCTCTCTCTCTCTCTTATCCGTTCATCTAATAATCATCTGCTAATCCATCCATCTATCCATTCATATATCTCTCTATCCATCCCCCATCTAAGTCTATATATATTTTTGTTTAATCCATCTCAACCCACGTCATTAATTCTGTATTCCATTTCCCTTAAACAATCCTCGTGGGAGAGACATGAAAAACTAATGAATGAGATATGAATGAAAAAATATATATTTTCTTCATTTTACTTAATTTATGAACATTGTTGAGTCTGCTGGCCAAGTCGTAAGCAAATACGGTACTTAATGATTTGCGTAAAAGATAAAAGGAGAAAGTGAGATAAGGAGATAAATGGAAAGAAAAAAAGATAAATATATGGAAGGAAAGAGAGAAGATGGGAGATAATTTCAGTAGGTAGATGATATTCTCTTATTGTTGTTTTCTTGGTGGTCGACACTTGACGCAAAACCCGTGTCGTCCACATAACACAGCGTGACGCCCCTACTCACAGACATCACCTCAGTTAAAGGTTTAATTAGGCTCCGTGCCGAAAGGAAAATGTTCATCCGAGCGACAACCATCGGCAGCGTGGAAGGTGATGGGTAACGGGGGCGTGATCCACTTTGTAAGATATCCATCACCTTCACTCACGAGAGGAAATGTTTGGGTCAGTTATTTTCCGAATCGCGGTATCAGTTTTCTGTTATCAAACTTTGTGATACAATATACTTAAGTTTAGAATCTATATGAACGTTCTTCTTGTGTCATTTCTCCTGTTAAAAGTGTATGGAAGAGGTAAGAAGTATCAATAAAAAGGACTGAATAGGAGGAAAAACGGTGATACGTACACAATGGGTGTATCGCCAACCATGACCACTCTGTCGGGGGAGGGAGAAGCTTTCACTTTTGGTGGTGTCCTCTGTGATGCTTTCATTCTCTCTCTCTCTCTCTCTCTCTCTCTCTCTCTCTCTCTCTCTCTCTCTCTCCACGTTTCGCCATATTTTCAATCATATTAACACTATGTTTGTGTGTGTGAAACTAAAATTAATCAGTACCTGACAGGTCCTCACCACCGTGTGTGTCAGCTCGTCGGCTCCACCGTCAGCAGGGCACCATAAGTAACAAAAGTCACTCCTTACGTCACACACTGGCCAAGGAAACGCGTCAGCACGATCTTGAGGTGAAGGATGAGACCAACACCGACTGACTGACAGGCTGAGTCTTAATATGGATGTTCTTCAATTTGCTGATATAAGAATCCATCCACAAAAACGTTGATTTTCAGTGACATTTTAAACTTTGCGATTTAGATCATAGGACGGGCTATACATAACTGACACATTGTTAATAAAATACATAATATACTATACAAAACATACATCATACCTACTGCACAACATACACATGTATAAAGTATATACAGTATAGGTATACACATTGTTTATATTGAGACTGTTGTGTGTCAGTTATTTCCTGCCCATCGTCTGAAAACAGTCATTCTCCAGAGCATAAGGGGGTACTGAGTGGTCGCCCTGTTTGTGTTCTTGCTTGTGTGTGTTATATCTCAAGCAATTTTTTTAGATAGAATGCTTTGAGTTAATCACAATAGTCATCGCTTTGGCAAGAATTTTTTTTTTTTTTAGCTTTTGTACTTATTTAATTAATGATATAGCACTGGGGGCGGTGTACCAGTAACAGTATAAATGCCAAATCATGACTTGATAACAGGCACAATGTTTCTCAATGATAAAACTCGATAATTCGATAATTAATAATATCCATGACTTAACCATAAATAATAATTTCTTTAAAGAGTTTTACATTATCGAGAACTTTCACCATTACTGAAGAAGTTAAACCGAAAAAGTTTTTTGTTTTCTCAAGAACTATTGACGTGTTCCTATGAAAAGTGTAAGTTAACACACCAAAATGTTCAGTCTCCCTGCAACTTGAATTAAATTGAAACAGTTTTATTTGAATTGAATCTTAAATGAACTACAAAGTCTGTATTTTCGTTAAACTCGATCACCGGATTATCTTCTTCATCTTAAATCCATTAAAAACTTTTCTCCAATAAAGTGTCACCCTAAGATATGAAGTAACTTTGCCTGCGTGACGCCGGGGTAAATGTTGCCACGTCTATCCCATACAACACCGAGTTTCTTAACCATTTCTAAACCTTACTCTCCCTCTGCCATCATCTCGTACAAACACCTACAATATCTTCACGTTTCTCTGGACAACTAAACATTTTAAAGACGAGAAAACTGTGATACTCGATGGAGCGAACTGAACACTTTCGTTCGTCGTGGCAAATAGTTGATGCTGAGACACACACACACACACTCTCTCTCTCTCTCTCTCTGCTTCTT